ATGGAAAAAAGTACCTAAATTTGAATCATACTCATTTATGCACTCAAAAGGTGGTAAATGAGTCTTATGTTCTTGTTGTCACTACCACATTACAGTTCTTAGTAATAACACCTACAATCTACCTAGGAAATCACAATAGAGAAATACCTTTATCAATCTTGAATTTGACATGTTTAATTGATTTAGGCAAGTTTATGTAAGGGGTAGAAATATACTTAAGAGTAGTGATTAGAAAAATCCCATATAGAGATCTTCAAAACTAGGACCTGAAAGTAGTTGGCTAGAATTTGTCCATAGGTTTGTTATTATTACGAAGCCTCTGCCACCTTCCTTATGGAATGGACATTCTGGACTCAAGTAGAGCTCTATATTATGAAAGCGATATGTGTACTTGCATAGGAACACTTACACTTAGGTGGAGATTGTGATGTAAATTAAATTATCATTAAAGTGTTGGTAGTTGTTGGGGCATCAAGCTTTCATGGTGATGTTACCGGGGAAGGAAGGAAGGAAGGAAGCGTCGGTAAGAAAAACTTAAAAATAATTTTAGTTGAACGTGTAAGATTTACATTTGGAAATAGTAGTAGTACTTAGTAATCTTATTTACTTTATATTTTTAAAACAAAATCCAAAAATATCAAAATTATTTTTGAGTGACTGATATCCATCCTATTAGTTAAACCATTAGAATTGAATGCGTAGTTCAAGAGCTGCAGACCTTGAACCTTATGATTCAGAGCTAGAGAGAACTATTAGGAGGATTAGAAATGGAGAAGACTCAAAACTTTGTTGTAGAAAATGTGGATCATCCAATTAATGAGGATCCAGTCATTGATCATAATTCAAATAGATTTTTTAAGAGAATGGACTTATTTACATTTCTAAGATTATTCATAATTCTAAAAGGATTAGCAACTTTACAAGTAGATTTCTCATATAATTCTTTCCTCTTAATTCCTCTAAGATTCCTATGTATGATAAACTACAATTATTATTGAAATTAATAGAAAATCAAAATTCCTAAACTTGATTACTGGATATTCTTACACTTTAGTTCTAACCCGAGTTATGGAAAACTTTTCTAAGATTTCACTATTAAATTTATAGGAAAAAACCATCACAATCTTTAATTAAAATCCACTACCATAAGTTCTAAATTTTTACATAGTCAAAGGGTTACTTGAGGACAAGTATTGTTTAAGTTTGGCGGAATGGATACATGATACACCTAAAATATATAATATTTTTAGATACAATTTTATACCTATGTTTGAGATATTGCGCTTTAATGAAAGGTATTTTTGTATTTTTTTCTTGCAGATACATGTAAAAATGGAAAAAATGCTTGAAGGAGTGAAAAAGGATC